TTATCCAAATTATTAAGGGCAAGATATGAAAAGAGAACGAAATCTGTTGCATAGAATAGAGAACGGTTTGATAATTACGTCAAACTTTGTAATTAAAAGAGAATGGAATTAAAAAAATCGAAAAGAGCACGGATTAATTAATTGATAAGTAACGAGGTTATTCTCAAGATATTCTTAAAGCCTCTCCCACTGGTTCATAGAAATGGTATCAAGATCTATGGGTAATTTGTAGAGAGTTTCAAAAAACCACTTTTATGCGTGATACAATTAAGTAGAAGATTGTAACTTTCTTATATATGAAGATTTCTATGTATGAAGTAATTATCTACATGGTCAGCAGATATCTGTTATTTTAGCCGTCACGTGATCAAGTCATACTTTTCCCTCAAGAAGATCTTTCTGGATATTAGTAAATCTGTTCGCTTTTCAGTGTTTTTAAATATATATAAAAAAATCGTTCTCTTATCAACGCCGTTCTCCAATAAATGAAAAAATTTCCAAAATGATTTTTCATTTTTCATTCTATGATGATTCTGTTCTCTTTTCGTATATTATTCAATTATTTACCTGGACATCGTTTATGTTCTTGATCTGTCCGAATAAAATTAGTCATAATAAACAACGCATTATTTTCCTGAGGTGGTACAATATAATCTAGAATAATTAGAAACAAACATTTCTATTCTAACTTTTATGAGACTCTCATTGATCGTTTTACCAGCTCCATCAATGACTAACGTTTGATTTTTCGATGATTGATTATAACCAATTCCTTTGACTTTTAAAGTAATTGAACTAATGATAGATGTATCTGTTTCTTGATAACCTTTTTTATAAATCATTAGATATGCAACACCATAACATAAAATTAATATTTGAATAAGACGACACATTAGTGCAATTGATATCGAGTGAATAGTGACTATTTTTGGTGTTTCATATTCTGTCACAAAACCTCGAACAATTGATTTAATATTACCGTAACTCAAATATTCTCGAATTGGTAAACAATGAAGTGTCACCACGGTGCTTGCAGTTGGACCAACAGGTATTGACATGACGCAAATTAAATTAAATGTCTTACTGAATTAAAATAAATAAAACATTACATCACATCAAATCACATTTATTCATTCGATCGGATAATATTCATCGTCACTAACCATTCATTATTTTACGTGTATTTAATTGAACACGTTTCTTAAAGTATACAAAAAGAAGTAGACAGTCATAGTGTATTTGAACGAGGACAACAGATTAATCATTTTCTATTATATTCTAGTTTTCTTATAAAGTGATGGACAAGCAAACATTCGAGAATGCATAATAATTAATATATTTTTTGCCGAGATGTTTGAAGATGAAAAAGAATTGTTTGTAGTCTTACTGCTACTGACAATAACTAGAAGAACATTGTGCCTTTAATGGTAGAAGGTTTCTAAATGTTACTTTGATTTCACGTACGATACTCAGCTATGGATATTTTTTTATATTAGTTGCGAATCTATTATCTGTTCGTTGATCATACAACCTTTCAGAACTTGAATTTAAATTTGATTTCTTTAGTTATTCATCACAAACTTTCATCTGGATAACTTCGAATAGTGTCAAATTGTAGAAAATATCAAGTTATCTATGTTAAGAAGTTTTGAAATCTAAGAAAGGACTTTTTGATGAGTTATAAAATTTCATCGAGAAAAATATCTCAATTAATCTTATTATTTTGACTCGACGAAAATAACTCATCGAAAACTTCTTTCTTAGATTTCAAAACTTCTTAACATAGATAACTTGATATGTTCTACAATCTGAAACTATCCGAAGTTATTCAGATGAAAGTTTGTGATGGATTTCTAAAGAAATTAGATTTAAATTCAGGTTCTGAAAGGTCATATAATCAACGAACAGATAATAGACTTGTAATCAGCATAAAAGGTTATCCATAGGCAAGTCTTATTCAAGTAGTTTTAGTTACTAAAATTTTGCTAAAACAATTCAACCACCTAGTTCAACAGTTCCCGTTTTTTTGACTCATTTTTTCTCAAATACATTCTACGGTGTTTTACATTTAAGCCATTGTGTTTTAATTGAACTTGTTTAGTTCAAAGAGGACAAAATCATTAATTTAAATATTCCACTACGAAAATCGACGCATAACATCAAAATAGTTGAGTTTGAATTACACAGAATTATTTTCTTTTGGTACCACTGTTTTCTGCATGAATGAATAAGTTTAGACAATTTTAAATTTGTTCAATTTTCTTTTTAAGTAAGACACATTATTAGTTTTGATAATGGTGATGACGGGAAAAGAAAGAAAAACATCATGACGCCTCACCTATTACTATGTAATATTCTAATTTATCTTCAGGCATCGGAAAAAAGAAACATTCTATCGAGAAACAAACACTTCAGTTCCTTCCGTTGATTACATATTTGAAAATCTTCTGGTCTATAATGTAGTTTGTTCCTTCTCCAAAAGTAAACGGTTAAGCTAAGGAAGTACCACATCATTTCATCTTTTGAGTAGTAGGTTTTTCAACTAGACATGTACCGAGTAATTGACTAAGGATTTTACCTTTTTTCCAAAACCTGACGTTTCGTAAATTGCCTGGTTAAAAATTTTCTGACTGGGTAAGAATGTAGAGCAAACATTTCTCTAAAAAATGAGAGATTGGACAACTCTGTATGATTTGTTTTGAGATTTTGGCAGGGATGCCTCCATAAGCGACTAATCAAACTCGTCGAGTACTCGATGCTCGCTTACTATTCGATTATGTGTTCTTGAGTATCGCTGCCGAAATCTTAAAACAAATCATACAGAGTTGTCCAACCTCTCATTTTTTAGAGAAATGTTTGCTCTACATTCTTACCGAGTCAGAAAATTTTTAACGAAGCAATTTACGAAACGCCAGGTTTTGGAAAAAATATAAAATCCTTAGTCAATTACTCGGTGCATGCCTATTTTCGAACGAGAATCTAAAATGTTGTTCAAATACCATAGAGCAGATCTAAGGTAGCCTAATTCTCAGATTAAAGACGGCGAGTTAATACAAATTTTTCTTTATTCAGTATAATTAGTCCAGACATGAGCGAGTCCGAGTCCTTAAAAATTCAAGCCGAGTCCAAGTCCGGTAATCTTTTAGAGTCTGTTTTAATGAGTGTGGTTTATTTTTATTTTTTAACTGAATGAGTTCTGGATTTGATTTTTCGAAAATAAGGTTACTTTGTATGTTCGTCTCCCGAACAAAATTTCAATTTCTTGTGAAACAGAAGGTGTTATTATTTCGCTTTTCGTTTTTCTCTGTTCATTTATGTTAAACGTTGAATAGATCGGACTCAAAATACAAAAACTCAAATTCGAGTACGAGTCCTTCAAAAAATCTCCAGTCTGGGACCACCAAAAAATCTTTCAATCCGGACTCGGACTCGCCCATGCCTGAATAAATCACGGCTTCTTCAGTTGATCTAGGCAATTGAATATTATGTTGACATTCCAGTATTCATCTTAAAACATTTATTAAGAGTACAAATGAATTTTGTTTATTCTTTTGTAAAATAGAGATTTAATTGCATTTGTTGGTATCATTATTAATCATCGACAGAAATAATGTTGTAAATATACTCCAAGAGATATTATTATTATTTATGTCAAATAGTTGTCATTTTAGTTGTCATCCAAGAAAAAAAACGTGTACAATTTTAATAAATCAAGCTGTAATTTATCAAGTTCAAAGTAGACAGTTTTTGAGAAGATTTTTGTCTTCATGAAAACAGTAATTAGCGATAATGACTAATTGAAGAAAAAAATCTGTGAATTATACTTGCAATCGATCCTTCTTATTTTTTTCGAATAATTCTCATCTAACTAATGAAAACCACATAATTTCATGACAAGAAATTACAAACAAATGTGTGCAACAGATCTCAAATTCAAAACAACAATTTACTGGTTATTCACATATGAGAAGTTTATTTTCTTTATAAAAAAATATTATTATTTTCAGATCAATTAGTAAATGGTCTCGATCATCATCATTTTTAGTTGTTTTTTACCTTCTTCTGTCTACTACATGTGCAATGTATCGGTAAGGTATTGACAACAGTTTATTAATTTAGCTGTAGAGTTTTTCACACAGAAAACACTGACTATCTTTTTTTTATAGATTAATCAATGAAAAAACTTTTTGTTAAAACGAAAGATATATGATCTGAGAGAAAATATTTCGTCTGTGATAACACTACGATCTAACGGGTTGTATTGATTATTAGATTTTGATAAATATGTTACATAAGATGTGCTATTAATTAACTAATGAATATAATAATTATACTTTTCAAATCATTCGTATTCCTTTTTTTCGCTTGTTAATAAGCTCTGTATACTAGCCTATATTATTTACATATCTATTAATATTAAATATCACTAATTCGCATATTGATTTAATGATGACAGAACACTATAGACTTACATAAACACAAAATCGAAGTTGGAAAACGTATACAATCTATTTGGCACCAGTAACCATTATGATATTTGGATATTAAAAAAAAACGATCAGCCACATTTAATCATATTACTTTTTGTTTATCTATTTATTTTTATTTTCTATTCCTATAGTAATAGTATCTGAAATAATATCTAACAGTAGTATTCACTGGTGGCAATATTTTCTTTTATCATACACTTATACACATATACAGTTAAAGTTTGATAATCATCAAAAAACAAAAGTCTAAGAACAGCAAATAAACAAGCATAATGACAATATTTAATGAACAAATTATTCAACATGGAAGATGAATCCCGTAGGAACGAACATTCTATTTTCTTTTGATGTTCTTCTTTTTTTCTATTGTTTTAGTATTATTAGAATTGTACATGTCAGAATATATAGACGTGTCAACAGGATTTTCTGAATATTAGCAAATTTGCTAATCGCAGATGATCCGTTTCTCTTCTTTTTTTTTTGCTTCCATCATCGTCTTCCTTAAATGATTGATATTTAAATAGTAGAACGAAAAACAGAAGAACAAAAGATATTCTAGCCTAATAAGTAAAAAAGAAATCCCAAATAGGTTATTTATTTATCTATTTATTATCTTTTCTTTTCTTTTTCTTGTGTTTCTATGATTGAGGGAGGTTAATAGGCTATGAATGTACGGCATGTGATATCATCCAGATTAATTTATCTCATTATTATGATTAAAATTTTGTTTATGGAAAAGAAGAAATAATTGAAACAGAAGCAATAAGAATATAGAGATATTCTTTCGCTCATATGATCACACTTAGATCGATGCTGAAAAAAATATATATGCACAACAATATAACAAGAATAAAAATAAAAAACATATTTCCAATCAAAATCGATGCCAGATTGTCAATAATTTATCCCAAAAGAGAATTAGAGAGAAAAAAAAAAGAAAAGTCAAAGGAATAAAAATATATGATAATAATAAATAACGAAAAAGAAAAAAAAAACGACAACGTAAGTTTTTAGAAGAAAATTAAAATTAAACGCCATCGTATTCATTCTATATACATCAATAATTGACCCTCATAAAAAGAATAATGTGCTCTTTTTGATGAATATGACACGTTTTCTTTTAATAAGCCACTATTTGAATGAAAAAAGAATTGAACGTTTGTAGGCGTATTAATTTCAAAAAAAAAAAAAAAAATATCAACGATATTCTCAACTTTATTTTGAATAATAAATTTTGATAACTTCATTTTACTCACAAATTATTATTATTAGTAATTTATTTTAAACGGAAAAAAGTCTTTACGTTTCTTTTCTCTTTCTAAACAAAATCACTGATTTTAGTGAGATTTTAAAATCGATTTGTTCTCTCAGCTTTTTAATGAATCATACGTTTCATTATTCTTATAGAAGAAAAACAAATAAAATAATGTTATATAGATGATAATCAATACAACAAAAGATACTATACTATATTTTGCATATAAATGTAGAGTCTTTATCGTATATAAATTAGATGATTTTTAAGAAAATCGTATACGCATATTTATATTGATTAAAATAACAAAATA